CATCGGACCTGAGGCCGTATGTTTTGGACACTCGGGTAAAGAGAGGGGCGGAGTTGTCAACTGATCACCATCTGGTGGTGAGTTGGGTCGAGTGGCGGGGGAAGCCTCTGGATAGATCTGGTAAGCCCAAACGTGTAGTTCGGGTGAACTGGGAACGTCTGGAGGAGGCCCAAGATCAGGAGGCCTTCAATTCACACCTCCGGCAGAGCTTTTCGGGCATTCCTGTGGAGGTTGGGGACATTGAACCAGAGTGGTCGGTGTTCAAAGCCTCTATTGCTGAAGCCGCGGCGGGGAGCTGTGGTCTCAAGGTCCTAGGTGCCTCAAGGGGCGGTAACCCTCGAACCTCCTGGTGGACACCGGTGGTCAGGGAAGCCGTCCGACTGAAGAAGGAGTCCTTCAGGGATTTGTTATCCCGGGGGACTCCCGAGGCAGTTGCAAGGTACTAGGGCTGAACGATATACCGTGTCATGGCGGTATTCACACCGCAGGGACGTGCGGTTTTATTAATTTTTTTTGAAAAATGCTAACGCACTTTAGCACAGAATTCAAAATAAAGATACCCTTATTACTTATTGAAACTGCACATACAATATATCCGATTAAAGCTGAGACTCCACAGATGATTTAAGTATAGTATCTAAGCGATCCGATCTCACAACAGGGGAAGCAAACACAGACATCACAACACGTACCTTTTACGGAGCTTTTACGGGAGATCGTCTCACCGTAGCTGTCAATCTGATCAAAAGACGTGTTCAATGGCATTAAAACGAGAAGGAAAAAACGCGGCTCAATCGGTTGATCCATAGGTTGATAATGTATCTGTGGCTTTGAAGCAATTGTTTATAATCCATAATTCCATTTTTATGTAAAAATTGGATCACAAAAGTTAGCTGCTAATGGTAGCCACCTTGGTGGTTTGCAGCTTCCGGTTTTGGCTAGGCGTCGTCACTCTCACTCCTTATTTGTTCATGTGTTGGTGTGTGTAGAACTTCCCCTGATATTTGACCTTTTTAGACAGATTTAGCACAAAAACCCTCTTTTGGGGCCATTTGGGTGGATTTTCCATATCTCTGGCCCACCTTGCTGGATTTTGACATGTGACATCTCTTTCTGACCGTCAGAGCCAATGGAATCGAGGGGAAATCACACAGTCCTTATTTGGTAATTTGTGTGTGAGAGACTTCCGCATAGCGGAAGCAGCAGCCACTATGGTGGCTACCATTAGCAGCTAACTTTTGCTCTGCGATATTTACATAAAAATGGAATTATGGATTATAAATTAAATCATTTTTGTATACAGAAACGTTAAAAAGCGTTTTTTCTTTCTCGTTTTAATGCCATTGAACACGTCTTTTGATCAGATTGACAGCTACGGTGAGACATCTCCCCTCAAAGCTACGTAAAGGTACGTGTTGTGATGTATGTGTTTGCTTCCCCTGTCCGAGTTCAGATCACTCAGTGATGATACTATATACCTAAATAATCTGTGGAACCTCAGCTTTAATCGGATATCTTGTATGTGCAGCTACGATAAGTAATAAGGGTACTTTTATCTTGAGTTCTGTGCCAAAGTGCATTAGCATTTTTCGCTCAGGGGTCATTTAGATGCTTCTTATGAGACTTGTGTTTTGTTTTGGTATAAAATGGTTTGTATCGTCAGTTAGCTGAGATTATTTCCGTTAATCTGGTATAACACATTAATAGGTTCTTAAATATTACGATCCCCTGACACACTGTCGTGAAAAAAAAAGTAAAGTACCCGCCGGGACTTTGGGGTTTAACAGGTTAAAAAAACCGCAATATATACCGCAGGGGGGGAAAAAACCGCAATGTCAGTTTTGTTCAATACCGTGCAGCCCCACAAGGTACCGACAGGCCCGAAGGGCAGCAGCCTCAGCCGTGGCCGAGGCAAAGCAGCGGGTGTGGGAGAAGTTCGGAGAAGACATGGAAAAGGACTTTCGGGCGGCACCAAAGTTGTTCTGGAAAACTGTCCGACACCTCAGGAGGGGGAAGCAGCGAACCATCCAAGCTGTGTACAGTAAGGATGGGACGTTGTTGACCTCAACTGATGGAGAGTTAGGGCGTTGGAAGGAACACTTTGAGGAACTCCTGAACCTGACAACTCCGCCCTCTATGTTAGAGGCAGAGCTGGAGTATGACGGGGGATCAACACCAATCTCCCGGGGGGAGGTCACTGAGGTCGTCAAACAACTCCACAGTGGCAAAGCCCTGGGGGTGGATGAGATCCACCCAGAAATGCTGAAGGCTCTGGGTGTTGAGGGACTGTCATGGTTGACACGTCTCATCAACATTGCGTGGAAGTTGGAAACAGTACCGAAAGAGTGGCAGACCGGGGTGGTGGTTCCCCTTTTTAAAAAGGGAGATCAAAGGGTGTGTGCCAATTACAGAGGCATCACACTACTCAGCCTCCCCGGGAAAGTTTACTCTAAGGTACTCGAAAGGAGGGTCAGGCCGATTGTCGAACCTCAGATTGAGGAGGAACAATGCGGATTCATTCCTGGTCATGGAACGACTGATCAGCTTTTTACTCTCGCAAGGATCCTGGAGGGGGCCTGGGAGTACGCTTATCCGGTCTACATGTGTTTTGTAGACTTGGAGAAGGCGTATGACCGAGTTCCCAGGGAGTTACTGTGGGAGGTGCTGCGGGAGTATGGGGTGAGGGGGTCTCTACTCAGGGCCATCCAATCTCTGTACTCCCAAAGCGAGAGCTGTGTCCGGGTCCTCGGCAGTAAGTCGGACCCATTTCCGGTGAGGGTTGGCCTCCGCCAGGGCTGCGCTTTGTCACCAATCCTGTTTGTAATATACATGGATCGGATTTTGAGGCGTAGTCGTGGGGGAGGGGGTCTGCAGTTCTGTGGACTAAGGATTGCACCACTGCTTTTTGCAGATGATGTGGTTCTAATGGCTTCATCGGTCTGCGACCTTCAGCACTCACTGGATCGGTTCGCAACCGAGTGTGAAGCGGCTGGGATGAGGATCAGCACCTCCAAATCTGAGGCCATGGTTCTCAGCAGGAAACCGATGGACTGTCCACTCCAAGTAGGGAATGAGTCCTTACCCCAAGTGAAGGAGTTCAAGTATCTCAGGGTCTTGTTCTCGAGTGAGGGAACAATGGAGCGTGAGATGGGCCGGAGAATCGGAGCAGCGGGAGCGGTACTGCAGTCGCTTTACCGCACCGTTGTGACGAAAAGGGAGCTGAGCCAGAAGGCAAAGCTCTCTGTCTACCGGGCCATTTTTGTTCCTATCAAATCAAATCAAATCAAATTTGATTTCAAAAGCACATTTAAAAACGATTTTCGGTCGAGCCAAAGTGCTGCACATGCAGATAATAAATAACACATTCCTACCGATGTAAACAGAAGACAATAAATTACAACATCAAATATAAAAATCAAACACAGGGAAGTGTCATGAGTCGTGCTCTGCTCTGATTAGAGCAGAGCAGAGTTCCTACCCTCACCTATGGTCATGAAGGATGGGTCATGACCGAAATAACGAGATTGCGGATACAAGCGGCCGAGATGGGTTTTCTCCGCAGGGTGGCTGGTGTCTCCCTTAGGGATAAGGTGAGAAGTTCGGTCATCCGGGAGGGACTCGGAGTTGAACCGCTTCTCCTTCGTGTCGAAAGGAGCCAGTTGAGGTGGTTCAGGCACCTAGTTAGGATGCCACCTGGGCGCCTCCCTAGGGAGGTGTTTCAGGCACGTCCAGCTGGGAAGAGACCAAGGGGTAGACCTAGGACCAGGTGGAGGGATTATATCTCTTCGCTGGCCTGGGAGCGCCTTGGGATCCCCCAGTCAGAGCTGGTTGATGTGGGAAAAGAAAGTTTGGGGCTCTCTGCTGGAACTGCTACCCCCGAGACCCGACCACGGATAAGCGGGAGAAGATGGATGGATGGATGGTTTAAAGGTGATTTAAAGATGATTTAAAGGTGATTTAAAGATGATTTAAATGTGATTTAAAGATGATTTAAGGATGATTTAAGGATATAAGGGTGATTTAAGGAAGATTAAAGGGTGATTTAAGGATTATTTAAGGGTGATTTAAAGGTGATGTAAGGATGATTTAAGGAAGATTGAAAGGTGATGTAAGGGTGATTTAAGGATGATTTAAAGGTGATGTAAGGATGATTTAAGGATGATTTAAAGATGATTCAAGGAAGATTTAAAGATGATTTAAGGGTGATTTAAAGGTGATGTAAGAATGATTTAAGGATCATTTAAAGATGATTTAAGGAAGATTTAAAGATGATTTAAGGGTGATTTAAAGGTGATGTAAGGATGATTTAAAGGTGATTTAAAAGAAGATTTAAGGGTAATTTAACGATAATTTAAGGGTTGATTTAAGAATGATTCAAGGGTGATTTAAAGGTGATTTAAGGGTGATTTAATGGTGATTTATGGGTGATTTAATGTGTGTTTATTGAACAGTTAGATGGGACCCAGGCCTCTCGTTGGCTCCCTCTGGTGGACGCTCTAAGAATGACAGGGACACCCAGAATGATCTGGTTGAGTTTAAATGATGCACGAATCACATAAATAACCCTAAATCTGACCGGTTGGCTGTGAGGTAGGATCCTGATGTTTGTTTACCTCTGATGTTTGTTTACTTGTGTTTGTTTACCGGGGGCCTGTACTACGAAGATGGTTCAACCTAACCTGGATATGTTTGAGTTAGCCGGTTGGCCTAATCCAAAACATACGCGCTCTCGCTAAACGGTCCTACGACGCGGGTTATCAAGTGGATCGCTCAAGCCAGCCGTGTCCTATCTAGTTAGGTGTTCACATGAGAGGGGTGGTATCTGGAGCATTCGACCAATCACAAACATGGAGAAGCACACTGACAGCGCAGCGTCATACTTCCTGAATGAAAAGTCAACTATAATATTAGACATATGAAGAAGTTAAACTTTAAACATCCAGGACTTAAACACTTGATCCAGGATCAAAGCCACAGAGCTGCACCTGCAAGGTGAACACAGCTGGGAACAGAACAAGTGTTTGAATGCGTACATTAACAGCTTTATGATATCACTGCCCGTCTAAGACACCATCTGACTTTCATTACATTTGACTCCAGTGTTTCCTCAACTTAATGTGTTGCTTCAAATAATGCTTCTGCATCCAGTCTGTGACGCTGTGAGTGTTGCACGGCCAGAGACGGCTCAGCTGACTCAGATCAGGAGATGATACATTATGAAGTGATATGGACTGTACTTAATGTGACTCTGATCCGGTTACTTATGTTGTGGCAGATATTTCAGTGAGCTTTCTTAACGCTAATGTTATAATAGTCAGACTGCTCTGAAGATGGAGCTGATATTCTATTCATGTTCACGTTCACACAGTCGCTGATTTTTGCCGGCCGTCTTTCCTGCGACGGCAGCTTTTCTGTATTTCCTTTCTCCTGTAATATGACTTGATCGCTTTAAACTCCGCACACTGAGCTCTGATTGGTCAGCAGGCGGTGCTTTCACTGAGTTGATCTCTTAGCCTGCAACCTAACCTGCTCCCGACCAGGTTAGCCGCTAAGCATAAGTTACCATGGAGATCTAGCCCGCTAAAAATAGAACCAGCGTCGTAGGACCGGAAACCAAGAGTTAACCTGAAGTTAGCCGCTAAGAGAACATCCGGCTTCGTAGAACAGGCCTCTGGTGGTTGTTTACCTCTGATGTTTGTTTACTTGTGTTTGTTTACTCGTTACTACCTGTTGTTTGTGAGGCAGGATCCTGATATCATCAAGGCTGAAGGAGCGCCAGGTGGAGGACGGCTGTTTGAGGATCAGCCTCACAGAGATCACATGATCCGGGTCCACCTGCATCTGGTGAAACAATCACATGACATCACTTCCTGTCCCCACATCTCGAGGTCAATGGTTCTCTAGTGACACACAATCACATGACATCACTTCCTGTCCCCACATCTCGAGGTCAATGGTTCTCTAGTGACACACAATCACATGACATCACTTCCTGTCCCCGTCTCGAGGTCAATGGTTCTCTAGTGACACACAATCACATGACATCACTTCCTGTCCCCACGTCTCGAGGTCAATGGTTCTCTAGTGACACACAATCACATGACATCACTTCCTGTCCCCACGTCTCGAGGTCAATGGTTCTCTAGTGACACACAATCACATGACATCACTTCCTGTCCCCACGTCTCGAGGTCAATGGTTCTCTAGTGACACACAATCACATGACATAACTTCCTGTCCCCACGTCTCGAGGTCAATGGTTCTCTAGTGACACACAATCACATGATATCACTTCCTGTCCCCACGTCTCGAGGTCAATGGTTCTCTAGTGACACACAATCACATGACATCACTTCCTGTCCCCACATCTCGAGGTCAATGGTTCTCTAGTGACACACAATCACATGACATCACTTCCTGTCCCCACGTCTCGAGGTCAATGGTTCTCTAGTGACACACAATCACATGACATCACTTCCTGTCCCCGTCTCGAGGTCAATGGTTCTTTAATGACACACAATCACATGACATCACTTCCTGTCCCCACATCTCGAGGTCAATGGTTCTCTAGTGACACACAATCACATGACATCACTTCCTGTCCCCCACATCTCGAGGTCAATGGTTCTCTAGTGACACACAATCACATGACATCACTTCCTGTCCCCACGTCTCAAGGTCAATGGTTCTCTAGTGACACACAATCACATGACATCACTTCCTGTCCCCACGTCTCGAGGTCAATGGTTCTCTAGTGACACACAATCACATGACATCACTTCCTGTCCCCACGTCTCGAGGTCAATGGTTCTCTAGTGACACACAATCACATGACATCACTTCCTGTCCCCACGTCTCGAGGTCAATGGTTCTTTAATGACACACAATCACATGACATCACTTCCTGTCCCCACATCTCGAGGTCAATGGTTCTCTAGTGACACACAATCACATGACATCACTTCCTGTCCCCACATCTCGAGGTCAATGGTTCTCTAGTGACACACAATCACATGACATCACTTCCTGTCCCCACGTCTCAAGGTCAATGGTTCTCTAGTGACACACAATCACATGACATCACTTCCTGTCCCCACGTCTCGAGGTCAATGGTTCTCTAGTGACACACAATCACATGACATCACTTCCTGTCCCCACGTCTCGAGGTCAATGGTTCTCTAGTGACACACAATCACATGACATCACTTCCTGTCCCCGTCTCGAGGTCAATGGTTCTCTAGTGACACACAATCACATGACATCACTTCCTGTCCCCACGTCTCGAGGTCAATGGTTCTCTAGTGACACACAATCACATGACATCACTTCCTGTCCCCACATCTCGAGGTCAATGGTTCTCTAGTGACACACAATCACATGACATCACTTCCTGTCCCCACGTCTCGAGGTCAATGGTTCTTTAATGACACACAATCACATGACATCACTTCCTGTCCCCGTCTCGAGGTCAATGGTTCTCTAGTGACACACAATCACATGACATCACTTCCTGTCCCCACGTCTCGAGGTCAATGGTTCTTTAATGACACACAATCACATGACATCACTTCCTGTCCCCACATCTCGAGGTCAATGGTTCTCTAGTGACACACAATCACATGACATCACTTCCTGTCCCCACGTCTCGAGGTCAATGGTTCTCTAGTGACACACAATCACATGACATCACTTCCTGTCCCCACATCTCGAGGTCAATGGTTCTCTAGTGACACACAATCACATGACATCACTTCCTGTCCCCACGTCTCGAGGTCAATGGTTCTCTAGTGACACACAATCACATGACATCACTTCCTGTCCCCACGTCTCGAGGTCAATGGTTCTCTAGTGACACACAATCACATGACATCACTTCCTGTCCCCACATCTCGAGGTCAATGGTTCTCTAGTGACACACAATCACATGACATCACTTCCTGTCCCCACGTCTCGAGGTCAATGGTTCTTTAATGACACACAATCACATGACATCACTTCCTGTCCCCGTCTCGAGGTCAATGGTTCTCTAGTGACACACAATCACATGATATCACTTCCTGTCCCCACGTCTCGAGGTCAATGGTTCTCTAGTGACACACAATCACATGACATCACTTCCTATCCCCACGTCTCGAGGTCAATGGTTCTTTAATGACACACAATCACATGACATCACTTCCTGTCCCCACGTCTCGAGGTCAATGGTTCTCTAGTGACACACAATCACATGATATCACTTCCTGTCCCCACGTCTCGAGGTCAATGGTTCTCTAGTGACACACAATCACATGACATCACTTCCTGTCCCCACGTCTCGAGGTCAATGGTTCTTTAATGACACACAATCACATGACATCACTTCCTGTCCCCGTCTCGAGGTCAATGGTTCTCTAGTGACACACAATCACATGACATCACTTCCTGTCCCCACGTCTCGAGGTCAATGGTTCTTTAATGACACACAATCACATGACATCACTTCCTGTCCCCACATCTCGAGGTCAATGGTTCTCTAGTGACACACAATCACATGACATCACTTCCTGTCCCCACGTCTCGAGGTCAATGGTTCTCTAGTGACACACAATCACATGACATCACTTCCTGTCCCCGTCTCGAGGTCAATGGTTCTCTAGTGACACACAATCACATGATATCACTTCCTGTCCCCACGTCGCGAGGTCAATGGTTATTTAATGACACACAATCACATGACATCACTTCCTGTCCCCGTCTCGAGGTCAATGGTTCTCTAGTGACACACAATCACATGACATCACTTCCTGTCCCCACGTCTCGAGGTCAATGGTTCTTTAATGACACACAATCACATGACATCACTTCCTGTCCCCACATCTCGAGGTCAATGGTTCTCTAGTGACACACAATCACATGACATCACTTCCTGTCCCCACGTCTCGAGGTCAATGGTTCTCTAGTGACACACAATCACATGACATCACTTCCTGTCCCCGTCTCGAGGTCAATGGTTCTCTAGTGACACACAATCACATGATATCACTTCCTGTCCCCACGTCGCGAGGTCAATGGTTATTTAATGACACACAATCACATGACATCACTTCCTGTCCCCGTCTCGAGGTCAATGGTTCTCTAGTGACACACAATCACATGACATCACTTCCTGTCCCCACGTTAGGGGTGTTGAAAATAATCGTTTCTACGATGCATTGCGATGCGGACGTGGACGATTCGGTCTCGATGCAGTGACGGAAGATAATCGGTTATAGCGTAGTAACGTTGCTTCCTGATTTTCCGTCCGCGGCTTTACTATAACGTTTTTTTTTTCTGTCACTTTAATATCAAATCGGTCGGTGACGCAGAGATCAGGGAACAGACGTGACAGCGGCACAGCAACACCAAACACGGAGCAGTCTGCTTTATCCACCAACACAAGAACACCAGTCCAGAACCAACAGCAGAAGGACCCGCTCTGAATCACTCCGTGTCACTGCGGCACAGAGACTCAGGGATTTATGTTTTTCAAAAATAATCGCGTTACAATCATGTCAGGTTTTTGGTGGATTTAATGAAGTCTTGGATTGCAGAGTATGAATGTCCTCTAGCAATTTCAGACGATATATACGTGTGTAAAGTTTGTGAAGGCAGGAGGAAAAAAGCTTCCGCGATCACCGTCTCCTCTGTTCCTCTAAGCCCCGCCCCCTCCCTGAAAATAATGAGTGACAGGCTGATAGTGACCCGATAGAAACTTTATTATTTACTTAATCACTGAGATATAATGAAGCTAACTTAATCTCATACATTCATGGGATTTATGTAACAGTAAGACAGAGAATGTGAGTGTGCACCCACATGCAGTATTTTAGTTGTTATATGCTGTTGTAAATACTCCTCTTGTCTGCTGTGTTCAGACTCTAGTCCTGTGTGTGATGCCACATTCAGGACATTCAGTGTCCTTTCTTTAACAGAAGAAGCTGCTAGAAGCTGCAGCTAGACTGCAGAAGCATTATTTTTTTGTTTTTGAGGATGGAACAACTTCACACACAGATATAGGGAGGCTAGACCTATACAATTCATTTATTTAGGTTTATAAATGAATGTCAAGACATTTATGTGATTGATTTCTGAAGCACTTTCTAAATAATAAAAAGAGAGTTCATATGTATTTACTGCATGTATGCATTGATGAAAAATAAGCCATGTGCAGTAATATAGAAAATTGAGGATGCAACGCATTGGTATGAATCGTGATGCATCGGGATATCGAATTGAATCGAATCGTTGACAGGATAATCGTAATCGAATCGAATCGTGAGACCAGTGAAGATGCACAGCCCTACCCCACGTGTGGAGGTCAATGGTTCTCTGGTGACACAAAATCACATGAAATCACTTACTGTCCCCACGTCTCGAGGTCAATCGCTTCTCAACTTTTTCCAAACAAATTCACGCACGCACACTCACCTGAGTCCTGTGGATGCAGCAGTAGTCCTGCGACCCCCCCTCAGTGTGGGGGTTCTCCATCAGAGGCAGGTCTCTCACAGCAGTGACCCACTGAGAGGGGGGGCCCGTCCTCAGCAGACGCATACTCACTGAGGCCGTGTAGTGGTTCTTAAAGCTGATCTCCTCCACCTGACACACACACACACACACACACACACACACACACACACACACACACTCACACACACACACACACACACACACACACACACACACACACACACACACACACACAGAGACACACACACACACACACACACACACACACACACACACAGAGACACACACACACACTCACACACACACACACACACACACACACACATACACACACACACACACAGAGAGGGTTATAAACACTGTACAAATGCTTTGTGTTGCTGTGTGTGGTGATGATGTGTTAGCAGTGTCAGCAGTGTCGGCATTGTCAGCAGTGTTAGCAGTATTGGCAGTATTAGTGATCAACAGAGGTGAGACCAAGTCATTGTTTTGCAAGTCCGAGTCAAGTCTCAAGTCTTTGCGCTCAAGTTCAAGTCAAGTCCTAAACTTTGACAGAACGAGTCATAAACAAGTCATTATGTGTTTTTCACCAAATGTAATGACAACGTGTTTTTTTCTAATTTAAGAGGGATCAGTAAAGTAAGGCTACCGTGACGGTTTGATTTAGAAGTAGTTTAATGTATAAGATCCCTGATGTTAAGGTGACCAGCATGTTTATTTCCACTGTGTACAACATGTACAATCTATCTTTATGCAAGGGATAATGTGCAGCGAGCGGGCTCTATGAGGAAAAGAACACCTGCATCTAGATCCCTCTGCAGGTGGTACTTTAACTATGTTTTGATGCTAATACTTTTCTACTTTTACTTGTAACATTTTGAATGCAGGACTTTTTATTGTACAGGGTTCCTGCAGGTTTCGCCAACTCAAATTTAAGACTTTTTAACACCTTTTTAAGACCACTTTGAATAGAATTTAAGACCTATTTCACGGCAATAAAGTGTGAAGGAAAATGTATATAAAGAAGAAATACGTCCCATAAATGTATTCATGTTCAACATAAGAACAGTGACTGAACATAACAGCATAACAGTACAGAACTGTGTTAGCGTGTTTAACAAAAAGTGTGTCTGTGTGTGCTTGAGTGTGTGTGTGTGTGGGCTGTGCAATTAATAATATTTTAATCGCAATTACGATTTTGGCCTGCCACAATTACGAAAACAACATAATCGGAAAAAACGATTATTTTGCTTTGCTAGGTTGTGACAGTGCACCACAACATATTTGATCTAATGAATTTTTTAGTAATGTATCATTTAATTAATACATTTTTGTATTGGTTTTTCAGTTGAATTATACGTTCAGGGTAATCAACAGTTAAAAAGATACTGTTCAAATTATTATCTGTTTTAAAGTTCAATAAATGGATGTTTTCAAAGTCAATGAATAATCATATTTAATAATCGTGATATTAATTATTGACCAACATAATCTTGATTATTGCCATAATCGAGCAGCCCTAGTGTGTGTGTGTGTGTGTGTGTGTGTGTGTGTGTGTGTGTGTGTGTGTGTGTGTGTGTGTGTGTGTGTGTGTGTGTGTGTGTGTGTGTGTGTGTGTGTGTGTGTGTGTCTCTGAGAGAGAGTGACAAGAGCTATATTCAGAGCTCTGCTGCCTTGGCTACACTATTTCATCGTTGCTGTTGTATGATTGGTGTTTAGCTACGGTATTTAGCGTCTACAGCACCTCCGCTTTTAGGGTTGATGTAGACCCAAACTTCGCCCGGAGGTCCCCCGGTGTTGTTGCGGGAGCTGCTGCACTAGCTAACGCTGCATTAGCTGCTGATGCACTAGCTAACGCTGCATTAGCTGCTGCTGCACTAGCTAACGCTGCATTAGCTGCTGCTGCACTAGCTAACGCTGCACTAGCTGCTGCTGCACTAGCTAACGCTGCACTATCTGCTGCTGCACTAGCTAACGCTGCACTAGCTGCTGCTGCACTAGCTAACCCTACATTAGCTGCTGCTGCACTAGCTAACGCTATATTAGCTGCTGCTGCACTAGCTAACGCTATATTAGCTGCTGCTGCACTAGCTAACGCTACATTAGCTGCTGCTGCACTAGCTAACGCTGCATTAGCTGCTGCTGCACTAGCTAACGCTGCATTAGCTGCTGCTGCACTAGCTAACCCTACATTAGCTGCTGCTGCACTAGCTAACGCTATATTAGCTGCTGCTGCACTAGCTAACGCTATATTAGCTGCTGCTGCACTAGCTAACCCTACATTAGCTGCTGCTGCACTAGCTAACGCTGCATTAGCTGCTGCTGCACTAGCTAACGCTATATTAGCTGCTGCTGCACTAGCTAACGCTATATTAGCTGCTGCTGCACTAGCTAACGCTACATTAGCTGCTGCTGCACTAGCTAACGCTGCACTAGCTAACGCTACATTGGCTGCTGCTGCACTAGCTAACACTCCACTAGCTAACGCTACATTAGCTGCTGCTGCACTAGCTAACACTCCACTAGCTAACGCTACATTGGCTGCTGCTGCACTAGCTAACACTCCACTAGCTAACGCTACATTAGCTGCTGCTGCACTAGCTAACACTCCACTAGCTAACGCTACATTGGCTGCTGCTGCACTAGCTAACACTCCACTAGCTAACGCTACATTGGCTGCTGCTGCACTAGCTAACACTCCACTAGCTAACGCTACATTAGCTGCTGCTGCACTAGCTAACGCTCCACTAGCTAACGCTACATTAGCTGCTGCTGCACTAGCTAACGCTGCACTAGCTAACGCTACATTGGCTGCTGCTGCACTAGCTAACACTCCACTAGCTAACGCTACATTAGCTGCTGCTGCACTAGCTAACGCTGCACTAGCTAACGCTACATTGGCTGCTGCTGCACTAGCTAACGCTGCACTAGCTAACGCTACATTGGCTGCTGCTGCACTAGCTAACGCTCCACTAGCTAACGCTGCACTAGCTAACGCTACATTAGCAAAACAAACACTAATTTATTTTGCAAAAGGTGCAGCGGGCTTCAAACACGTTCCCTCCACTGGTTTCAACCAAGCACTAAATTAGATGTTTTCCAACCAAATACGGTTGAACTGACACTAACCCATATTTAAGTAGATTCGAAGATACAAGCTGAAGCTTGGTTGCTAGGTTACTAGCTGGGTGTTCTCCAATAAGGGGCCGGGGGGAAACAAAGTTAGTGATTACTGGTTCCATGTTGATTTAATTCAATACAAATTGTTGGGGGGAACTGAAAGGCTATTACCGTACTGGTTACTTTGCAGCCCGGACATTTCCCCCAAAACACATTTAGACGCTATCGCAACACAGAAGTACCTTTCAAATCCGATAATTTTTAAGACCTTCTGAATCATATTTAAGACCTTTTTAATTCCTTAAATTCTGATTATCAAATGTAAGACTTTTTAAGACTTGTTAAGACCCCGCGGGAACCCTGATCGTAACTTTTTTTAATTGTCTGAACTTCTCCCACCTCTGACAATAAATCCTGAGTGTTTACCCTGCTCTGAAGGTTATTCTCATTTTAGAAATCCTGCACTCAGCTTTGCTTTCTCCAATATCATTGAAAAGCAGCACGATGCTGCTTCTTTTTTCGGTTTTCGCTCATTTCTTGACTTTTTCCGACGCGCTTGCATTTAAATCCGGCTCCCCGTCTCCCCGTCGCTCTGCACATGCTGTGCCCCCCACCCTTCTTTCACATAATGGTATGATCCTAGTGTGTCCTCGCATATGATTGGCCGCATGGTGGCCCAGCTAAATAAAGACCCGCCCCTGCCTGCAAGGATTCTCAGCAGCAAGAGTAGGAGCGGCTGAAGATTCTGCTTTCCCCGACGGGAGTCTGCTCTTCTAGCGGCAGCTCGCGATCGGCGTGTTGGAGACCTCTGAATTAAAGTAGCAAGTCACCTCAAGTCAGAAGGCTCAAGTCCAAGTCAAGTCCTGAGTCATTGGTGTTCAAGTCCAAGTCGAGTCGCAAGTCTTTTGTGATTTTGTCAAGTCGAGTCTTAAGTCATCAAATTTGTGACTCGAGTCTGACTCGAGTCCACACCTCTGGTGATCAATCAATGTTTATTTATAGCCCAATATCACAAATGTTACATTTGTCCCAGTGGACTTCACAGTTGGTACAAAATATCAGTATGACAATAAGACACCCTCTGTCCTTAGACCCTCACATCGAAAAACTTCCAGAGAAAAACCCCACAGTTTAAAGGGGAACATGGGAGAAACCTCAGTGATAGCATGGTTAGCAGTGTAGGCAGTGTGTGCAATGTCGGCAGTTTTAGCAGTATTGAAAGTGATAGCATGGTTAGCAGTGTTTGCAGTGTGTGCAGTGTCGGAAGTGTCGGCATTGTCAGCAGTGTCAGAACAGGGATGCAAACTCATCAGGTATGAAAAAGCTGACAAGGACCCGAGCCCCCCGACCCCACGGAATATTGGCTTTAAAATGAGGAATAACAGGATGTTAGCAGTCAGAACAACTAAAGCAGCAGGTAATAATAACAGAAACGCCAAATAGTCACATCTAATAGAAATATATAAAAGCATTTATTTTAATCAACACACATGAAGTCGAGGAGAAAGAGAAACACTACGGAGGCCGAGAGTCTCAGTTATCAACTCGCTCTCAAATTGTAAACGATTCCAAGCCGCTTTAAAGTACACGAGTAGTTCGAGGAACTTAGCGACGCACATAAAGAGGCGACATGGGGTCTGCGGCTGAAAAGAGAAACCTGAAAGTCAGACAGCGTGAAATCACTCAGTGAGGTGTTCTGTCAGAGAGGTGTTTAGTTTACAGCAGCCTGTGATGGCCAATCACAGTTTAATGTGTTGCTGACTGTAAGCAGGTATGAAAGAGGTTGTTTGTGAAAGAGGTTTTCTTTATTGTTCCTATAGAAACCAGTGCTCTCTGCTCTCTGGGGAGTCAGCCTCTGAGTGTTCAGCACATCAGGCTGCAGCTGTATGGGCATTGCTCTATGGCAGCTGTTATTTGCACATTGTTAATCATGAGCAATGCATCCTTACATTGTTTAACTGTGAGGTGTTATCACATTGCACTGTACTCTGGAGACAGAGAACTATCCT